ATCATGAAAGTGAAGTCCTTTGGTAGATGAAATTTAGAATGCAATTTTTAAATTTAACATTCCACTGTATCTTTTCGTGTCATAGCGTATTTCCTAATGAATCAGTAGTGTGGCATACCAGTTAAGACGCCAGTTCAGACTCTGACACGCCATACTGAAATGCCTGGATTCAATTCCCAGCTCTACTCTTGACTCCAGCTTCCTGCTAATCATGGCTGGAGTAGTTGAGTCCCTGCTTCCCACGTGGGACATCCAGACTGAGTTCCCAGGTCCTAGATATGACCTGACTCAGCACCAGCCATTATGACACTGAGGGAGTAAACCAGTAGATGGGAGATCTCTCTTAGATTTTAAATAAAATACGTAAATTAAAAGTTAACAATGTGAAAAACCACTTCCTAAAATTTGTTATATCTACACGATATTCCTTTTTTAAGTACACAGTAACTTAGTCAAGCTTTTATTATTGAACATCTAGATTTCAACAATTTTCTTTAAGATTTAGTTTGTTTATTTAAAAGGCAGTTACAGGAGAGAGAAGAGACAGAGAAAAATCTTCCAGCCATTGATTTATTCCCCAGATGGTCACAACAGCCAGGGCTGGGCCAGACAGCTGCCAGGAGCTTCTTCCTGGTCTCCCACATAGATGCAGGGGCCTAAGGACTTGGGCCATCCTCCACTGTTTTCCAAGGCATATCAGCAAGGAACTGGATTGGAAATAGAACAGCTGGGACTTGACCCAGTGCCCGTATGGGATGCTGGCCCTGCAGGCAGTGGATTTACCAGCTATATCAAAATGCCGGCCCCATATTATTTTATTGAGCATTTAGAATCTGACAAGTTTTGATTAATAAAAATGTGGTGAACATCATTGCTCACATGTACAAATATGCCAAATTTAGATGAAATGTTTCATCAAAAGAACACCTAAAGCAGCACAAAGCTGACAGTGCTACTAAGGTCTATCTAGAATGATTTCTCAATAAATCAGCAAAGCCAAAAACCAAGTGGTCAATCCTAACTATGTGGTTTAGCCAAAAGAGCCCCCACTTCTCTTCTTCACCAGCGTAAATTATACAAAACTGCCTAGAGATACAGCAGGACCCCAGGTATTTTTTTAGAGGGGTTAATTTTTTAAATTTTATTTAAGGTGTACAAGTTTCATGTATTTCATTTATACAGATTTAGGAACACAGTGATGCTTCCCACCCTTCCTCCTCTTTCCTCTTATTCTCTCTTAATTTTTACAATAATCTACATTCAGTTTACTTTATACCCATAAAATTAAACCTACATTAAGTAAGGAGTTCAGAAAAAAGCACTGTTCCTCAACAGTAGAGACAAGGACTATAAATAATCATCAATTCTCAAAATGTCAATTTCACTCCTGTATGTTACCTTTTAGGTGCACTCTATTAGTTAACACAGATCAGGGAACACGTGGCATTTGTCTTTTGGGGACTGGCTTATTTTCACTAAGTATAATGGTTTCCAGTCACATCCCTTCCATTGCAAAAGATAGGATTTCAATCTTATGTAAGGTTAGTACCATTCCATACTATATATATGTATACGTATATATATATATATATATATATACACATAATTTCTTTAATCAGTCATCATTTGATGAACATCTGAGTTGATTCCAATTTTTAGCTATTGCAAATTGAGCTGCAATAAATATGGGACCCCAGATATTTTATAGACAGAATAATTACATGATGGACACCTGTGGTACATGCTTTCGTACTACTAGATTCAGAAGAGAATTTGCAAGTCAGGACTGAACTGCCTGGGTAAAACCAGCCACTATAAGGAAGGACTAAAAGAGCCACCATGTACTGTGTCCTGGTATCATCATATGATGTGGATTTTTGAGTCCCACTCAATGGGTTAGTATCCTGGGGATACAACTTCTAGGGGGTTTCTTCATGGGCATTTTACCTATGCTCTGAGGTCATTGCTAATGAAAATTGGAGACTATATGTATTTTCCAGGTTTCTTTTAAGAATTAAATGTGATAAGTCCTAAGTCAGTACTTGGCACCATCTGCTTAATAAATGTTAATTCTCTTCTTTGTGAGGATCCAAAGCAACCAAAGAGTCCAGAATAATAACTGAGTGATCATAACCAATATCCCAAGCCACGAGGAAATGAGTACAAATGCCAGGGAACAGGGCAAGATCGAGGTATAGGGTATAAACCATAGACCCAGACCAGGAAGGAAGCAGTGCTGATGGGAAAATACAGGTAGAAAAATCTAAGGACTGAACCAGCGAAGGCACAGGCGAGGTAAGTGCTAGGCAGGCAGAGGCGAGCAGGCAAAGCTCTGCAGCAATGGAGATCGCCCTCTCACAGGGGCTGTATGTTCTGAGTGCAGCTGCTGCTCCAGAATGGGCCAATGGAGATCTTGAAGATAATGCAGAGCATCTGCTGGAATTAGGAGTTATGGGCGGCGCCACGGCTCACTAGGCTAATCCTCCACCTTGTGGCGCCGGCACACCAGGTTCTAGTCCCAGTCAGGGTGCCAGATTCTGTCCTGGTTGCCCCTCTTCCAGGCCAGCTCTCTGCTGTGGCCAAGGGAATGCAGTGGAGGATGGCCCAAGTACTTGGGCCCTGCACCCCATGGGAGACCAGGAGAAGTACCTGGCTCCTGCCATTGGATCAGCGTGGTGCACTGGCCGCAGCGGCCATTGGAGGGTGAACCAACGGAAAAGGAAGACCTTTCTCTCTGTCTCTCTCTCTCACTGTCCACTCTGCCTGTCAAAAATTAAAAAAAAAAATGGAGTGATGGGCAGAACCTCAAAAACGTCAGACACCTCATTCATTAATGTCTCAGAACACAGCAGGTGAAGAAGAACCACACATCAGTCAGGATGTAACCAAGCGCACAGAACAGAGGATGTGACTTAGGTGACTCACAGCACAGACATGCACCAGGTAGGTGTAGTTGATTTTCAAACCCCCTCACACCAGCCCAGACCCAGATTCTTTCCATCCTTTTGAGAAGTCATCATTTTCACTCCAAAAACATCTGCCCATATGGTCACAAAATAGCTAGCAGCAGCCCCATATATCACGTGACATTGCCTCATCCAGGAACCAAGAAGGGTAGAGCGGAGGGGGCTGGGCGAGAAGGGGGATATTTTGTCATCATGGTGCCCTTATTAGAGAGAAAATTCTGAAAATACTCCAAAAAAAAAGAATACCCCACTTAATATTCCAATTCATTGAATTGTGTGCCTGAATTCATTGCTAGAGTGATGACTCACCAAGATTGCTATTCTCTGAAACCAAACTTGATTCCTCCCATGGACCCAGGTACAGGGAAACAAATATGACTGGAGTTCTCAACACAAAATTGACTGGTTCTAGCTAGTAGAGAGACCAACACAGGTGTGGCGCAGGTTACAGAGGATAACCAGAGTGCTGGCCCTGCTTTTATTACTCCAGTGCTTGGACATACCACTAGTCTTTAAGACTAAGCTCACTCTCGGTACAGTGTAGATGATAATATAGTCAACACTGGGTGGATCACTATGTTATTAAGAGATGACGCACAAGAAAGTGCTTTGTAATGTGGCACACAGAAGGGTACAGCCATGACTCCAGTTGAATGATGTCAGGACATTTGCTTTCTGTTTACGTCACCCCTAAGAGAAGTGAAGGTTCATTCAAGAGGAAAGATACTACAGGCCACAACTCCTATGAAAGTTGGGAGACAGAGTGTTTTAATTAATAAGGTATACTAAGGAACAAATTGGGTGGCCTGGAGATTTGAAAAGCCTACTGAGTTTCCATTGGAGCTACTGCACTAAAAATTTACAGTATATGTGACACAGTGGAGGCCACTTTAAATTTTCTAGGAGAGACGAAAGCCTTGACTGCCTACCAGCAGGAAAGCAACCTGTCGAAATCTCAGCTGAAGCAATTTCCAGTGTATTAAAACTGCATATTACGTGCTTGGGTTACTCCTCAAACAAAACTCTACGCATGAATAAACAGATAAATGCAAGGGAGACAAACCAGATGTTTTTGTAACCTGTTCTCTCACAGGAATCTTCTAACAGCAGTGAGAAGGCAACTGTTAGCTCTGTTTCCTGGCAAAGCAACCCAGCAGCTTGGCAGGGACAGCAGGGTAAACACAAGAGTCAGAAGAATGACGTAGCTGTCTGATGGGACTCAGGGTTGACAAAGTGTCTGTCCTTGTGTCCAGGCATGATGGATTTCAATGCAGCACTCTTATGGCCTCTTGGAAATTATTTTGTGATTTTTTTATATGTTGGTTTGGGCATCCAAAGTCCTTAGGTCAGGACAGTGGGTAATCCCTGAGGGTCAAAGTCTTCCAGGGCTTGCCTTTCTGTAGTGTGGAGGGAGGAGCGTGATTGACATGCCATGGCTATCCAGATACCCTTGTCCTCTAAGGGCTGGGAGCAGATGAGGAAAAGGCCCACAAGTCTGAACCAGATGGACCTGGCTGGTACGCACCTCAAACCTCAAGCTTTCCCCTGGTCCACCCACCCCCCTCTATGTATTCCTTTGTACATTTATTTATTTTCATTTTATTTCAAATGGAGGGAGTAGGAGAGACAACAGGGAGAGGGAAAAGGAGAGATGACTTCCATCCACTACTTCACTCTCAAATGCTCATAACAACCAAGACTGGGCCAGGCTAAACCCAAGAACCTGAAACTCCTAAAACTCCAAATACGGATGGCAGGGATCCCAGTTTCAAGCCATCACCTCCTAGCTTCCAGAGTGTACTTTATCAGGAAGTTGGAATTGGAATCAAAACCAAGACTCAAACTCAGACACTTCAATATGGGCTATGGGCACCCCAAGTTTCATCCTAACCACTGTACCAAAGGCCTGCCCCTCCTTTTGTTCATTCACTGTCTCCTCATTAAATGTCACAACACTTGAGTAACGTGTCATAATCACCTTCTCATCTGGTCATTATGTCCTCCCTACACTCTTCTTCTCCCTTTCTGAATACACTTTTACAACAGCCTGTCCCGGAAATGCTGCAATCATGAAAGCCAAGAGGTACTTGTTGCCACTCACTGGTTATTATTAATGTCATGGACCACCAAGACACTGGATAGGAGCTAGCAAAACTAAGTGAATATATTGAAAAGAGGTGCAGGAAAATAAGAGGGCAGGAAGAGGAGGAAATAGAAGTGAAAACAGGCGAGTTTAGTTCGGCTTAGCAAATGTATTCAAGTACCTAGCAAATGCAGACACAAAGTTTTGGGAACTAAACAGTGAATAAGAAATTAGGTAGTACAGTGGTCTGGGTGGGAGCTTGGGCACCGTAGCAGATGCAGTGTATGATTGGGTAGTACAGGAGAGGTCATGGCCGAACTAAGTCTTATAGCCAGAATAAGAGGAACACACAAAAGGAAAGGCATTGAGTAAAGCAGAATGTTCACAAGAATGAGATTCATCAGGCAAAAGACTTGCCTGTCCTCAGAATGATAATGATAAAATTCATATTTTATGATGATACTTAGTTTACACATATATCTCACCAATTTTTGTGATAGACCTCTGAGAGATGAGTCCACATTTTACACAGGAGAAAAACAGGCTCAGAGTAATTATTTCATCAAGCAAAGGCCAAACCCTGAGTCTCCAGGCTTCTTCCCCTGGGCCCTCTGCTGTCCATTACTTTTGCTTCATAGAAGACTATTAAACCATGAAAGATTAAAGGGAACTTGGGACATCACATAATTCACTGATTTTCAAATTTTGAGCATGCCCAGTAAAACATTATTTGTGCATTTCAATCTAGTATCTTAAAGACATATATGTAAATCACATATGGATATACATGCTTTCTGATATTTTATATTCTACTGTTTAAATTTACTCAAATACAAAAGGTTAGCCATAGCCACTAAATTAACTCCAGCACCTCTAGGCATTGGAGAAATTGGTTGTAATCTCAACTACTTAGAGACAATGACTCGGTCCCTAAGGGAGGAAAGGGCTTAGAAGACCACGCTGTGAGTAGTGATCCATGGAGCCAACATTGATGGAGCTTTTCCTGCTCATCCTAACTCCTTAAGAAACTCAGTTCCTGGGGCTGAAGCTGTGCTACAGCAGATAAAGCTGCCACTGTGGTGCCATCACCCTGTATGTGTGCCAGTTCAAGTCCTGGCTATTCCTCTTCTGATCCAGCTCCCTGCCAGTGCACCTGGGAAAGCAGTGGAAGATGGCCCAAGCACTTGGGTCCCTGCACCAATATGGGAGACCTGGAGCAAACTCCTGGATCCTGGCTTGGGATAGGCCCAGCTCAGGCTGTTGCGGCCACTGAGGGAATGAACCAGCAGATCAAAGATTTGACACTCTATAACTCTGAGTTTCAAATAAATAAATAAATCTTTAAATAAAAAAAGAAACTTGGTGCCTTAAGTGCTATCTCTAGCATAAGCAATAAACTTTTTCTCCCAGCTCCCCGCATCTGAGAAATGATTTTACCATTCCCAAGACAAAAGCCAGGGAGTCTTTGGTGAAAACATTTAGATTAAGTTCCAACCCTGGCTCACTGTAGCTCATCGCACTGCAACAACCTCATTGAAGTACAGAATGATTAAGCATCCCATTTGTCCAGAGCTAGTGGGGAAGCTAAAGATCCAGAGGCCAAGAAAAACTGTTCAGGTGCCTGCAAATTTTGGTGAACAGCTCTCTTACACCTGGATGAAAATTGCAAGACTCTTCGCCATTTCTTTCTCTCCAGTACCTTCATTGCTTCCAAGTGACTCTGATCTGACTGGGAAGAGACACAAACATGCTTTAAGGATTTCCTGTTGGCATGGGAAATCCAATGATGTGCTCAAGGTTGGCTAAATTTTGGGAAGCATATTAAAGTAATTCTAGATTTTCCATGTTTATTTGATCCAACTGGTGTTGAGGTTAATTATTTTTGCCTTTGCAGAACCAGAATACTCTTAGAATGCAGAGAAGTACAACTGTTGCACTCATGGAAAAGGCCTTTGGCTTCTGTGAACGTAGAAGGTACAATATTTGTGAATAGTAAAATCTACCAAACTGATGATTACCAAGGGATTTTAATGTACATCATAATAGGATACATATTTTCTTGTTGAAAACTGTTTCTTCATAATTATATGTCCTTTAATTTTTTTTAAAGGTTTGTTTATTTGAAAGGCAGAGTTACAGAGAGGTCTTCTATCAACCGGTTCACTCCCCAGATGGCTGCAATGGTCAGAACTGTGCTGATCTGAAGGCAGAAGCCTCCTCTGGATCTCCCACATGGGTTCAGGGGCCCAAGGCCATCTTCTACTGCTATCCCAAGCCATAGTAGAGAGCTGAATCTGAAGTGGAGCAGCCAGGACTTGAGCCAGCGCCCATATGGGATGCCAGCATTGCAGGCTGCAGCTTTACCCGCTACACCACAGAGCCAGCCCCTAGATTTATTTGAAAGTTACAGAGAGGAAAGAAACAGATGAAAAGACAGAGAGAGAGGTCTTCAAACAGATGGTTCACTCACCAAGTGATTAAAATGGCCAGGGCTGAACCAGACTGAAGCCAGGAGCCAGGAACGCTGCCTGGGTCTCCCAACAACCACTTGGTCCACCCCTTGACAGGCTTTCCCAGGTGCTTTAGCAGGGAGTGGATCAGATGCTGAGTAGCTGGGACTCAAACTTATACTCTGATATAGGATGCCAGCCTCACAGGCAATAGCTTAACCCATTGCAGCAAAATACCAGCCCTATTATTTGCCCTTCTGGAAAGCAATTCTCCTATAAGTTAATTGCTATGTCCACACTCTCAGTGGAAAATAAAAGATTTTAGTTTTTTGGTTTTTTTTTTTTTTTACAAGATATGGTTCTTGAGAATCATGTATTTTCCTGAGTAATATTATTAGAGTTCAGGGGGCTGTTAAAGAACTGAATTTTACAGTGAGAATCCACTAACTCTCCTAAGTAGAACTTAGAGTACTCAAGAATGCAATTCAATGTATGGTTTAATGAAATCCCTCTGACAGAGAATCAATCCTCAGACGAAAAAAAAAAAAAAAAGAAAAAGAAAAAACCTTGGCTTTCTTCCAAAGCCAGAGAAATGTATGAGACAACATCAAGAGGTTCCAGAAAATACAGAGAAATGTTTTGAGGGAATGGCATGAATTAAGCACAACTGTGCATTTTCTTTCAACTTCTTGTCTCTGGAGAGCCACTTAGATAATCTAGGCATGATTGATTACTCTTCCAAGCTGTTACTTCGCAGGCATGGTAGGCCTCCAGAAACTCAGCTCCATAAGCGCCATCTCTTGCATATGCAATAAGTCTTTTCTCCTCCCACCACCCTCCCCCAAGTCCAAGAAATGACTTCACCATTTCTAAGACAAAAGCCAGGGTATCTTTGATGAAAACGTTGGACTAGGTTCTGATCCTGGCTCACTGCGGATGAACCATCTGACTTTGAACACGTCACCTCTTTCCTTGGGGCCTCCGTTTCCTAATCTGTGAAGTTGGGGGCCCAGGCCAGAGAGCCTGAGGTCCCCCTTCCCCACTGTGACCTTGGAGCTCCGTATCTATCACCTGGTTATATGCTTTGACGTCTCTTTCCTAATTGCTTCCTTTCTAGGGTCCCTGGACATCAAATGTTTCTTTTCTTTTCCAAAGGCAAATTCTACTTCTCTACTTGTCAAAGGCTCTAACACTTGATCAGCCTTTCTCAGGTTCTCTTTGAAAAACTGGCTGTAATGAAATACCCACAATTATTAGGTGATCCAAGGCTTTGAGACAGACCCCTGGGTTCCGAGGACATATTCACTATGATATTGAAGTTCGCTCATCAACAAAATGCGATTTACTCTTGGCTTCCTCACCAAGCTTGCCTGTTTGAAGCCAGTTTGTCCTGTGTTTCAAACCGCAGTGGCTGTTACCTTTTTCCTTTTGTCACTTGGTTGAACTAGCCTTTCCTTCTGAGTTCTTCCTCAGAGCCTGCCTCAACTGACCCAACTTATAAACAGCCCCCACAGGTTGGTACCACACCCTCAGTATCACACACCTCCATCAAGCCCGTGTAATGTCTCCCATTGAGGGATTCCATCAACGTTACCACATGAGTTTTCTGTCAGTGACAATGTTCACACGGAAAAGAATTTTGAAATACATGCATGCAAGAAAAATTGAATGAATGAGAGCTGAGGAGGCAGGTAGAGTTAAAGACACTAATATTATTGATCTCTTATTACATAAATTATAGATCTCACAATTATGTTCAAAGACATTTGTGACAACATGCATAAACCTCGAGGCCATTATGATAAGCGGCACAAGCCAAGCAGTGAAAAACAAATGCCTCATGATCTAATGTGTATATGGAATAAAAGCAAAAATTTAGAAACCACAGAAGCCAAGAGAAGAGCAGATAGCACCAGGGGCTTCTGGGGGCAGGGCACAGGGAGGGTTGGGCAGATGTTGGTCAAATGATGCAAAATCTCAACTGGAATGAGGTAATAAATTCAAGAGATCTATTGTATAGCAGAGTGACTACAGTTAATAATAATCTTGTATATATTTGCTTGCCTATTTGTGTGGATATACATATACATTTGCATTTTTCATGTAGGAATAAAACAGTCTTACCTCTGATTTCTTTATGTGAAATGTTCAAAAATTCTCTAGGTAAAGAGGGAAAAACCCCAATGTACAGACATGATATCATTATGACAGGATGATTTATTGCACTATTAACTTGTGCTTTTCCTACTTTTAGATTTCCCTCCCTTATTTCACTTCCTTGCCCCAAGAATCAAGGGTCCCCTAAGGAGAACAGAGAGCAAGTGTGCCTTTGAAAAGCAGTCAGGCTGAGAGGAGAGTCTATGGGACTGAGAAAGCAGCAGAGCTCAGCGGGTCCTGGAAATGGAAGGCTTTCCACCTCCCAGAAACTGCCCCCTCTGGGGAAGCTGCAGAACCTGCGAAGTTGGGGTAGGTACAGTGGCCCATCTCCAGCAGCCAGCCCTGCCAGCGATTCCTGAAGCTCCAAGAGGTTACAGAAACCACATCCGCAGACAGGAAGAGCCAGCGTGGCCCCGGGAAGAAGGTGTCCCACTGTGGACGCATGTATTTAACCAGAGGGGCTACCTTAATGCTCTGGACATATAATATTTAGGCATCCTAGGCCATCCATCCTGCATGTCAAGAACTCAAGCAGATTTTGACTTTTCACCAGCAAAGAAGCATAGAGATACCTTAAAGAAAAGGATCAAGTACAGTGCTTATTATGTGGATTTGCTGCCTCTGATTCTTTCCTATTGCTTTAAGTAGTTAGGACTCCTATGTGCTTTTTAAAAGGGTTCATATTATCTTCAGTGTCCAGTTTATAGACAATAAATGATTAGATTTGTTTTTCAGAGAGAAGACAAGGATATAGGCCAAGGAGACAGATGATAGCTAGTGAGTGTGCTGTAGAAACAAAATAATGTCCTAGTGAAAACAAATAAGTAACATATTCTTACCTATATAATGTATGGTAACATTGCCAATAAAGCAGCTACAACCAAGCCACACGAGAAAACCATTGTCCTGGGCACCTCTGGCACCAAGTTTTTTGTTTGTTTGCTTGTTTGTTTGTTTGTTTTGCAGTATTAAGCAGAGTCTTGAGAGAATGGTTACCCTTATAAACGTAAGAAAAAAAAATAAAAGTCCCGGACGCTGTTTGTCAGCGGCACGACGTGGGAGTATGGCTGATCCACCAGTGATGTTCCAAGATCCCAGCTCCAGCTCCTCTGGTGTTTGTCTCCCAACAGTGAAGAGTCGCTTGGGAACCTGAGAGGTTTAACTTAGCTTGCTCCTGGATGAGGTAGATACTGGTTACTGACATAAGACCATCTTTCTCAGCAGTGTGACTCTTCACCTCTCAAAGGTGAAAAGAATGGGAGACATTCTAGAAATGGATTTACCCTATGACCCAGCCACCCAGCTTCTGGGAATATATCCAAAGGAAATGAAGTCAGCATATGAAAGAGATGCCTGTATTCTCACATTTACTGCAGCTCAATTCACAAAACCAAAGATGCAGTCAACCTAGATCTATGAACTGGTGACTGGATAAAGCAAATGTGGGATATGTGTATGATAAACTATCACTCAGCCACAGAAAAGAATGAAACTCTGACATCTGTAGCAAAAGGGATGAAACTGGAGAACATTATGCTCAGTGAAAAAAGCCAGATAGACAAGGAGAGAGGCGCCTTTCTCTGAAGGGAGGAAGGAACCTCCACTGTGATATGGCCTTGACTAAACAAATTCAGAGTTGCTGAACTCAAGGGGCTTCCATAGCCTAGACAGCTCATAGCAAGAGTCTCGGGTGATTGCCGAAGGGCAAATATATAGAGCTGATTGTTAAATCAACAACGGGAGTCACTGGGTTCATGCTCCCCTTGCAGGATCTCTGTCCTTAATATGTTTATCTATGAAACTCAGCATAAAACCCCCTTCCTACAATACCCTATACCTGGTTCGGGCTCGGGGTGGTGCAAGCAGGAAATCCCTGCTTAGTATATACTAAATTGATCTTCGGTATATGAAGGTATCCGAATTTGAAATCGATGAAGGGGGGGCAGGGGAGAGGAAGTGGGTGAGGGGAGGGCCACGGGAGGGAGGGAGGTCGGGGGGAAGCCACAACAATGCAAAAGATGCATTTTATATTCTACTTGAAACTATTGGTTGAGCTCTGTAACTAAATACACAATTACTCTTAGGTGTTTAATTAATGCTATAACTAGTACTCAAATAGTATTTACACTTTATGTTTCTGTGTGGGAGCAAAATGTGGTAATCTTTACTTAACATACGCTAAATTGATCTTCTGTATATAAAGATAATTGAAAATTAATTGTGATGTGAAGGGGAAGGGGAGAGGGAGTGGGAGAGGGGAGCGTTGTGGATGGGAGGGAAGACACGGGTGGGGGGGAGGAGGCTATTGTGGTCCATAAGCTGTACTTTGGAAATTTATGCTCATTAAATAAATTAAAAAAAAAAAGAAAAAGAAAAAAGCCAGATAGAGAAAGACAAATTCTATGCTTCCTCTCATCTGTGGAA